ATTATTAATTTTATCTAATTGTATAATTGAATGCAAATATTATTCTATAAAGCATTGTATATAAACATAATTTGAAAAATAAATTTTAACGAAATTTTAATGCATTAAATATTTAAATAATGTGCTAACTTATTGTCTATTGAATTATAATATTGTGACAAATTAATAATTTATTATAATCTATATTTTAGAGAACCAAATGTGGTTATTTATTATTTTAAACTGTAGAGGAAAATCACAGTAGCTGTATTGCAAACAAATAAGATTTAAAATATACTTACATTTTTAACAATTACGATTTTTAAAGTTCAGTTATTATGAATTTAAATGATCACGTTAGATATTTATTAAGTTACTATATTTAATTGATTGGATTATATTAACTGATCACAATCTACTGTATCTGCTGATACATGTAAAGTACTGTATGTCTACAGTTTGGCACTCAAGTGAGCACTCTATGGAAAGAGAGATGTTTTTATTTTTAAAAAAAATTTCTGACAAAACAATTGACATGAATTCTAGATTATTCTATCATTAGTTTGTGATTGTGAATATTTAAAAATGAATAAACAATAAAATCTTACTGTTTTTATTGAATGTCAATGTTTTACTGTAATTCCTGTTATTTTAAACTGTAACCGAGTTTTCCAGTCAATCCCTCGAATCTATATTAAAACCTTAACTGTACTGTACTTTTGGGTATAAGAGAGAGACTGTTTGTTGAGACAGTCTCTTGCATTCAGTTTTCCCCCACCCGTCAAACTTTAAACAATAAAAGTATTCTCAAAAGTTTCTCAAGTATTCTCTTTTCAGTTCTACTATTGACATTATTTTTATAAAATAAATATGAATAAAATATTGTAGTGAGTTATTTAAGTTTATACGGGATAATTAGTCCAAGCCTAGCACCCTAAAATCTACAACTATATTGTTACTACACAAAGCGCATGTGCGAACACCAGTCGACTGTAATACACTTTGCATCGAGCACATGCGCTTTGTGTAGTAACAATATAGCTGTAGATTTTAGGGTGCTAGGCTTGGACTAACTATCCTGTACATTAAATTAAGAGGTTTAGGATCAGGGTAAAGTTGTTGTCAAAATAAGCGAATACCACAATTTCCATAATAGATAAGACCATAAATTCACATGATAGTTAAGAAGCACTTAAGTTATGTCTTAAACATAATCCTCAAAACATATTCATTATATATTAAGTCCTTAATAGTTGTTAGAAGTAGCAAAGGGCTAATTGTACGATGTTTTTATGTAATTAGTAGTTACACTGCAATTTATTAAGTATATATTCTTGGTAATTTGCGTATGCCTTTGCAAATATTTATTGTTAATTAAATAAGTAATTATTACATTCAGTTTTGAAATAAATCAAATAAATCAAGATAAATTGAAGGATAATTCTTAAGAATTTAATAACTTAAATTTCATTCACACATAATCTAATTAGTTAACATCATTTATGCTATCATTGATAACTTGTAGAATATTATACAGAATAATCAATTTTACACACAAACCACGTTTAATCAAAACAGTCCCTACTTTATTCTAGAATCATCTTGCTTGATCATTCATGTTCAGAAATGATACACAAAGAACTAACATGTCATGAAACCTATGTAACTTGTCTCTGATTAGTATATCTAATCAGTCAATGTATCTCGTGAATTTCTGCCAAACAATAAACAAGCTTGTTTTTAAGTCAGTGCCACTTAAATTATACTTGGTACTTCGGAGTCGTAACCACATCCTGGTTCATGTGTCAACTACTATGTGTGTGGTCTCTATTTTTAGCAAACTTGAATTCTAAGTAATAGTTATGTAATGTATTATAATATGTATGGATTTTATACTCAAATCAATCACTTTTCTGATTAAGATATACCGTGATTTCACAGGTAACTATTAATTGTCGTTATAAAATTAATAATGGCTCGATAAAAATTTTAAATAAATCACGGGTAAAAAATTAAATTATTTTACCTGTACGCTTAAATAGATAACAATTATTTAAAATAAAATAATTAATCACAGAATTACAATCATGATTATTATGTAAGATTATTTTGTGTTGATATTATAAATCTTAATAAGCTATTAAGCCATATTACTGTATATACTTATAAAAAATAATGTTTTACATTTTCAAATTAAACCCTAAGTATGCACTTTGAATATTAAACAATTATTAGTTAAAGGAGGGTAACAAATACTTGAAATAGTAAAGTAACTGTTGATAAAATAAATATCAATTTCATTAGAAAAAAAAGTTGCGTACGATTTCTATTTTCTCGTGAATTGTTGTAATCTCTTAATCTCTCACAAATAGGATATGAATTATGTATTTAAATGAGTGCTAAACTTCTCAGTTGTTCACAAAAGAGTTTTGTCACAAATTGGTAATCAATGGCAAAATTGGGAGTTTTGTTGCTTTCCGTGCTTTTGGTGTCATTTCTGTCGGATATACACGCCGTCCAGAAAAGAGGTTTGATTTAACATAAAATAAACACTTTTGACAATTAAAAATAATTGTAAATATAATTGTAGATCATAACGATTATGCAAAGAACCCTCATCCGATAGTGTGTTACTTTGGCAGTTGGGCATTCTACCATAAGGCCGAGAAGTTTGATGTCTCTGATATTAACTACGATTTGTGTACACACGTTAACTACGGTTTTGCTAAAATCGATGAATACAACTATGAAATCCAAATGTTTGATCCCTGGCTGGAAGACCATTTCCGTTAGTATAATGTTTATAAATTATAATTATTGCATTATTATATAAGTTATGAATCTATTTGAATAACGAATTTGTGTCTTCAGAGGCGTACCAGAGATTCATTGACCTGAAGAAAAAGAACCCGAACTTAACGACAATGATATCATTGGGCGGTTGGTATGAGGGGTCAGAGAAGTACTCAGATATGGTTACCAATCCTGATATCAGAAAGAGATTTGTGAAGAGTGCCGTTGAATTCTTGGATAAACACAATTTTGATGGCCTGGACTTAGATTGGGAACATCCGGCCGCCAGAGGCGGCGCGAGTAGTGATAAAGAGAATTATATCAAACTTTTGGAAGAATTGAAGGAAGCGTTTGAACCGAAAGGATATCTCCTGACGGCCGCCGTATCTCCAGGAAAGGGAACAATTGATGCGGCATTTGTTGTGCCAAAACTGAATGAACTGCTCGATTGGGTAAATGTGATGACGTACGACTACCATGGTGGGTTTGACAACTATTTGGGACACAACGCACCCATATATCACAGACCGGAAGAAAATGAAGAGTTGGAGAGACAATTACCTCCAATGGATTACACGCACTTCACTGTCGACTATACTATCAATTATTTCCTAAGTCTGGGTCTGTCTAAGGAGAAGATGATAATGGGAGTGCCCTTCTATGGCAGGGGTTGGACTCTTATGGACGCTCAACACAATCATCTTCACGACGAGGCAAAGGGTATGTCACCCGCGGGTTGGATAGGTGGTGAGCCCGGAGTGTTGGGCTACGACGAGGTTTGTTATTTCAATTATTTTTATATTCCAATGTATACTCAAATCTGTTATTTATAGTTATGCCAAATGTTCAATAAAAACGGCAGCGATTGGCACCACACGGGAGACCCCTATTATTTGGCTCCTTATTCGTGGACTAATGAGATATTTATCGGACACGAAGACAAGAAGAGTCTTAAATGCAAAGTATTGTCGATTTATTTCTATTTGTTTATAATTAGTTTGTATACTAATGTCTGTATGAATGCCATCAATAGATCGCATACTTGAAGAGCAAGAAATTGAAGGGAGCGATGGTTTGGGCGCTTGAAAACGACGACTTCAAGAACCGTTGCGGTGAAGGAGCGTATCCTTTGCTTAACACTGTTTACGATATGCTTAACGGCAAAGACAGCGGATCTATGGAGTGTCCCTACGGAGACATTTACCCGCCGACTGTGCCTCCGACAACCACTACCACCACAACTACCACTACTACCACAACAACACCCGCCCCGACCACACCAACCGATCCGCCGACAACACCAACCACTCCGCCGACACCTTCCCCGACAACACCCACAACTGCGCCGACACCGCCGCCAACCACTCCCACAACACCAGCGCCGCCGACCCCAACACCCGAACCAATTGACGTCATTTGTTCCCGCGATGGGTATATGGAGTATCCCAACGATATCCATAAGTACTATCAGTGCGAGAATACAGGACCCCATCAATGGAGATTAACTCTGAAGCCGTGCCCACTCGGCCCGTCCGGTGAACAACTGGTTTGGCACCAGAAGCTCAGGAGATGTGACTATTAAATGAATGAAACAATTTAATCGTATTGTTTTCATTCAGTCTATTATTCTTACGAATAGTTTTACTTAATGTATAATTGAATGCAAATATAATTATAAAACATTGTATATAAACATAATTTAAAAATAAAATTTAATGAAATGTAAATGCAAAATCCAGTTTACATTTATTCAGACAATGTTTAATTGTAATTATGTTTTATTTGTGGCATTTGAAGACGTTTTAGTTTTAACAGAATTGTGAATTACAAGTAAATTTTTAACCAAATTGTAGTTTGCTTTAACACTAGTTATAACATGATTAAAAATCGTGTGATTCGCAAAAATATTACCGTTATAAAGTATCCCACACAGGATTTTAAAATTTATAATTATTATTTTTTTACAAGTTTCTAGGGTGAAAAACTGTCATAATAAAACATTAATAGTTCTAAAATGTTTTAAAACTGTTTTAAGCATTATTTACATTTGCAAATTACACACATTAATTTTGATTATAACTAATACTTGTAAATTAACAAAACTTTAATTTAATATAAATAACAAATATAATATAATAAACAATCTGACCGTCAATAGTAGAATCGATTGGTGAAGCAAACCATTAAATGAGTTTCTATTAGTTCCGAATCGGTTATTATCGGTTCAGCTGTCACTTCACACGGCGAGCAAAATGATTGGCAAACAAATACGAAACAATTATTTAATATTATTGTAACCAGCTTATTTAAAACTAGACATTGAATACTTAACTGACTAAAAATATATACCAAGAATAAACATTTAGTAGTTTTGAAATTTCTCATAAAAATATTCCATTTAATGTATGGTTGGGTAATATTATCAAAATATACATATCTACCAAAAATAGTTAGTTTTATATGATTAATATGAAATCCAACTTATGTCCCACAGAATTAGTGTGGTATTCTTATAAGTATTACCATAATTGTTTTGCTAACATATAAACAATTATATTGAATTATGTAAGTAAACAATTCGTGATATTGTTTGTTTGATTTTAATTGTAACTGTTATATTTTATGGGAATATCTATATTTTTATTTCTAATTTACAAAACATTATCTGATTATTTGGAATATTATACAACAAATTGCTAATTATTGGTAATAATACAATATCTATTTCATATTTAATAATCACTCTTATTGTTAAGCAAATAAATATTTTAAAAGAATAAAATTTTGTTTATTTAGGAAAATACAAATTTTTGATAAATTCTTTATTTTCCCGAAATTATATTTAAATATAATCAGATTTATCAATAAAAATGATATACTTAATTAAACTATGTAAATAACAAATAAATTAATAATAAATACATATTTGAAATGTGTTTACTGTTTGCCGATCCCTCCCAACAAGGATTTTAAGAATACATATATAAGAAAACGAAATTATAATTTTAAAAACAATCAATTTTGTTGAATAAATCTCACAAATAAGTGAGAAATAATGACAAAACTTACAGTTGTATTGTTATCCGTATTATTGGTTGCATTTATTGTAGACATAGACGCCGTTCAACGAAACCGAGGCATAAAATAACACATATTTTAATATTATTAAAATTAAATTTCATATCGTTTTAATAGACCACAACGACTATGTAAAAAATCCTCACCCAATAGTGTGTTATTTTGGGAGTTGGGCACACTATCATCAGGAGGAACCCTTCGACATCGAGGACATTAATTACGATTTGTGTACTCATATTAACTATGGTTTTGCCAAAATTGATGAATACACGTATGAGATACTGGCGTTTGATCCCTGGCTTGACGAGCACTTGCGTTAGTTGTCTTATGACAAATGTTTTTTAATTAATGTCAATTAAATTTATTCATTAGAGTCTTACCAGAGATTTGTCGATCTGAAGAAGAAGAACCCGAACTTAACGACAATGATATCGTTGGGCGGTTGGTATGAGGGGTCAGAGAAGTACTCAGATATGGTTACCAACGCTGAAATCCGACATAAGTTTGTGAGAAGTGTTGTCACTTTTTTGGGTAAATACAACTTCGATGGCCTGGACTTGGATTGGGAATACCCGGGCAATAGAGGCGGCGCTACCACTGATAAAGACAATTATATCCAACTGTTGACTGAATTAAGGGCTGCTTTTGAACCGCACGGATATCTATTGACAGCCGCTCTCTCACCGGGAAAGCAAACGATAGACTCGGCATATATTGTGCCAAAACTGAATAAACTGCTCGATTGGGCAAATGTGATGGCATACGACTACCATGGTGGTTGGGAGGACTTTCTCGGCCACAACTCACCACTTTTTAGCCGCCCCGACGAGACCGACGAACTGAGTGAAAAATATGGCGTTAACTTCAAGTGGTTTACAGTCGACTATACTATTCATTATTACCTAAATCTGGGTTTGTCTAAGGATAAGATGGTAATGGGAGTGCCCTTCTATGGCCGGGCGTGGACTCTGTTGAATGAAACGCAAATAAATATTCACGATTACGCTAAAGGTATGGCACCGGCCGGTAAAATATCACACGAGCCGGGAGTGCTCGGCTATAATGAGGTTTGTAGTCATGTATAAAATGTTTATAATGAAAAATTTTAACAGAGATTTATTTATAACAGTTATGTCTGTTGGAGAAACAGCATCCGCAAGAGTGGCACAACTCGTACGACAAGTACTATATGGCACCGTATGCCTGGACTAAAGACATATTCATTGGCTTTGATAACGAGGACAGTATTCAATGCAAAGTAAATAATATTTATATTATGATTATCAAAGCCTCTATTTTAAGGGATTTTAGTTGTAATCATCACTCGAAAAAATTTCAACATTTCAATTTCAATAATAAAATATACATTGTTTAATGATATTTTCAAATGTAAAAATTCGGTTACAATAAAAGAATACAATGTCAAATACAAATTAAATAGAAATATTTTAATTAAATTGATTATATTTAACAATTAAACATTTTTGTGGATATTTTTTCAAATGATTTACTTAACATTGCATTTAATTTACTCTTCATTTCAATCAACAAAACACAGATTTAGTAATAATATGACAATTGTTTAGCATTTTATCACTGATTTTAAATGAATTGCAATCAATTGTTTGATTGATTGAAAATACATATAAACAGGTATTTCAATACTTAACGAGTATCACATGCCCGGATCTTATATTTGCATTTTAAATCCTTTTATCACAATCTTTATCAAAAGATACACAACACATGTAGTGGTGTCTGAGTGAAGATTTCAGCTAAAATCCCTTAAAATAGAGGCATTGATGATTATATTAACTGAAACATCAATTGATATTTTAATTACAATAATTATCGCATTTCCTAATGGCATAAATAGATAGCGTTTCTCAAGTTAATGGGTTTGAAGGGAGCGATGATTTGGTCGCTGGAAAACGACGACTTCAAGTCCCGGTGCGGTTCGCTTAAGTACCCCCTCTTAAGGAAAGTGCATTCAATGCTCAACGGAGACGAAATACATTCAATGGAGTGTAAATACGGCGATCTCTTCCCCACTACTCCCAAACCCACTTCACGCCCGACCACAACCACTACAACACCCAAACCTACACCACCGCCCACTCAAACCCCCACTGAGCCGCCCCTCCCCACCACTTCTAAGAGTCCGATCGACTACTGGTGCTCGAAGGATGGATATATGCCCGATAGTACTGACCCACATGTGTTTTATCAGTGCGAATGGATCCCAGGCAAGGGCTGGTGGTTGCATAAAATGATTTGTCCAGGTGTGACCAATTGGAATCAGGATACTTTGAAGTGCGATAAATAATAAATTTATTGACTGGTAATCATTTAAGGTAATTTTAAATAGATTTATTTGTATAATCCTTTTCTTATTTTAATTTAATTTCGTATTTTAATAATTTGGTTTTAATTTTTAAATACTTTATTTAGTAGCAAGTTTTTATTAATGTGATTACATTTTAAATTCTACAATAATAAGTTTATTTTAATTTTATTGATATTTAATAATTTTAAGCACCATATTATGTGGTATAATATAATTATCAATTATTAATTTATCGTCAATACCAGGTATCATATATAATCAAGTAAATTTATAATTATAAACTTAATGTTAAATTGAATGCAACTGTAAAACAATGTAAATAAACATAATTTGAAGACAATATCTGAAAATGTTATTTATTGCCATTATTTAATGCAAAAATCATATATTGGCTGTTAATCTGAACAATTAGAGATAAATTCAAGTATTTTCTTCACAACCACTTAAATATAATACTTTATTTTAAAAAAGTTATTCAATTTCTTTGAAATACCCTTTAATAGTGTCGGCAAATGAAGTGTGAGATTAACGTTTGTTTTATATTAAATGTGAAAACAAAATAATATTAATAATGTTTCGCTTGTGTTTTATATTGCAATTAATTTCTATTATTAATTCAAACACAGGTTACAAATTGACAATATTTCAAAATTTAAACCAAACTTCTTATAAATATTCCAATATTTTAGGTCAAAACAAAGGACTAGTGTTCTCATGTCCGTCAACCGGTCTATTCCCACATCCGAGTAATCGGCATATGTTTATAAACTGTTGGCACATAACACTACGGGATTACGTGGGATGGGATTTCCACATACAGTCCTGTCGGCCAACAACACTGGTATTTGATGTGATATCGCGCACATGTATTGTCGATCGGGACAACCGCAACATCACAACCACACCACAGACTACACCACAGACTACACCACAGACTACACCACAGACAACACCACAGACAATACCACAGACAATACCACAGACAACACCACAGACAACACCGTCGGGTAACTCACAGCCGATACAGCAATGTATTGAGTGCCGTAAACCGGGGCCTATGGTATACCCGGGCGATAGGCGTAAGTTCGCTGTCTGTAAGCCATTAATAGAAGATAAACGACGGGTCGGTTGGGAAGTAATCGTTAGGCAGTGTTTCAGTGGCTATCGTTGGAGTCAAACGATTAACACCTGCATCGAGGAGATGGTAAAGACGACCACATCTGTACCGACAACAACGAGTTCGCCCATCGACTGGGCCCGTGAACTATGTCATAAACTTGGACAAAATAGTAATCCATTGAATCCACGTGGGTATATAACCTGTCGTTATGATAAATATGGTAAACTCGAGTATGAAGAGCATAAATGCGGTGATAACCCAAAGCCCCACATCTATAACCCAAAGGGCGAGTTCTGTGTCAAAGAATATAAGTCACAAGAATTGAAGTTTCATGAGAAGATCGACGACCATATTGTTAATTGTTATGGAGAGCATGTGGTCGCACACCCGACCAATACGAGTTGGTATCTCATATGCTTACAACACCCGTCGCCCAACTGGTCTATAATAGAGGTGTTGTGTCCATTCAATTACTATTGGCATCATACAACTTATCAATGTTTGCCACCATAATTACAAAGTATGTTTATGTTAGTATACTTTTGCAATTCATTTGATAATTGTATCCTATTATTAATGTTTCAATTTGGATGAATTTAAGTCTATTAAATTTAATTGTTGTTAACATTTTAGTTGTACAGTAAATTCATTTAATCATTCATTATGGTAGTGATTTAGATTTAAAAATCTATGAATGTAATAAATAGAGATAACTTATGATTATATTTATAGGTTATTATTTCATTATGGCTATTATTGTTTGAGTAAAAAATTTTGTGAAAATATCTATACTTGTGTTTTAAATTAAATTAAGTTATAAAATAACAATTTTTGTTGAAAATTGATTTACTTTTAAGTAGATTTAGTTTTTTAAAAACGAAAACAAAACAAAATTCATATTATTTTTTAATAAAGAGAGACAACGAGTGATAGACTTGAGAGCAGGTGTTGTATGCGATTGAG